GTTGTAGCACATGGTAGTTGTCTCAGCGTTTGGGTAATGGATGTGGTTACATGCCGTTAATCACGCATTTGAATGATAGAATGTGATTGGAGCATTTTGTAGAACAATTGGTGGCTACTTTTCACATCATCTTGTATATGTGCCTAGTCGAGAAGTCGAATCCATACACACCATCATCACATTTATAAGAAATCACTCAAAGAAAGCCACAATAGAAATTTATTGAACACATGCCCCCCAGTTTATGTGACTGGGCTGAAACTATACAAATGCCTAATAATAATCCAAATGCAATTTACATCAAAAGCAGCATTTGACAAATTTATGTGTTATACAATTTAATCTATAATCTAATTAAGTTTTCCCAATACATACCGAGTGCCTTTTTGATGCATAGAAAAATTGAAAAAACTTCAAAACGTGTATTAAAGTTCCAGAAATGTTCTAGAATCAAGGTACAACGTATGACAGAAACTTCAACATAACAATGCAAAGCTATAAAATTTGTATTGAAAGAAAGTCTACTCAAACTAGTTGGGAAAGTATTGTTTGACAATATGAAATAGGCTTTATACATTTTCCTGTCACTCAACACAACATTTCCCTGCTACCCAAATGATAAGATTCAAAGTTTACCTTCGATTTGTAAGGCTTTGACATTGATTTGAAGATTGTTTAATGTCCCAATGTTTTCCCTCATTCGAATTTGAATTCCAAACAGTAGATTCAACTCCTTTTCATAATAGATCTGACTATATTAGGGTAAAAAACAACAAAGATAGAACACAAGTTTGTCCACAATCACATAGTTACAACTTGAAGCAGAGTCGACGGATTCGTGGGTGAGTAGGATTCTCTCTGGGAGCTCCGTGGAATCGAGAATCTAATTTGGAATTTTTGATTTTGGGAGTTTAGAACGTATTAATTACGTAATTAAATATTTTAATTAGTTATAAGGTATTATTCAAATGTCTTAATTTTGAAGGGTGGTGAGCCTAATTTTCTCTTCATAGTTCAGTTGCCAGTCAGATTGGCCGCATGGGAACACACTAAGAATACTGGGGCTAATAAGTCCAAATTCAGAGCCCATAATCAGTTAATAGTGGACCCACGGTCCAAAAGAGATTGACGTAAATAACACTAAATTGAGCAATTTACTGCTTCTGGTTCTATTAGAACTCTTGAAAAGACGAAAAGCTACCATTTGAGCCGAATGCGAAATGATTTTACAACTTTACAGCATAAAATTAGTTAATTAACGAACACAATTATTTGTCCAAATATGTTTTGAGCATGTTTGGATGGATTAAGTACGTTAATGTTTGGGACTCCAATTTTCAATGGTAAAAGGCTTTTCCTTGGTTAAATGTTTGACACCCATTTTGTAAAATTCAACGGAAAAATCAAGAACAGGCTCCCTAGTGGAATGTTTAGGCAATCCATCTTGATTGAACAAATTGGTACGATGGTTGTAACATGGAAAGACCACGATAAACACTACTTATTTATGCTAGGGATTACAACGGCCGATGTTCATCTGTGGAGGAAAAAAATGTAAATGAAAGCAAGGCAAGAATGGAGCTCGAGATTCAATCTCACTCAAATCGATAAGAAGTTATAGTAGTGGAATAAGAGTCGATTTTTTCCGTAAATTTATTTTTTACCATTCATTTTATGGTATCCACGATTTTTATTAACTTTTCAATCACACATTTCATCAACTTTTATCTAAATTTACTAAAAATCTAAATTTTATCCATACAATACATGGGCTAAAAATAAGCTAGAATAGTATGGTGAGGTGCTTATTTTTTTTGCGCAGCCTTTTCAAAATTAGCTAAAAATTAAGTCATTTATATTTTTTAGTCTTTCACGTTTGGGTGTTTGGGGGAGCTTTTAAGCATTTTGACCAACTTATTTTGCAGAGTACAAAAATATACCATACAATTTCTATGATCTCGTTATTAGACATTGATTATTCGAATTTTACATTCATAAAAAGCGTAAACAATCCAACAAAAAATAAAAAGAAAAATAAAAATAACCCCCCTATTCCCACCTCCCCCCCCCCCACCCTTCCCCCTCCCTCCAATAAAAAAAGGATAATTGAATAAAACTAACGGCAATGAAGCTACTTGTACACCTATTGTTTACATCTTTATAGACAGATAAAGTAATAACATGCAGTTTGACCATTAATTTGAAACGAAATTGACTTGGCTTCGCCAGAAGGCCTCATCTCTAAAAGCTTGGCTTGCAAGGCTTCCCTCCTGCGGTAGGGTTCCAAACCTTGCCTTGCTCTTGTGACATGATATGTTTCCCATCTCTATTCCCACACTGTATCTATTACAATTGACCTCTAGCAAGGAAAAAAAAAGGGGATGTCAAGATAAAAAGTAAAAATGGTATTCCATATTGATACGAAAGTATTGAACGATGTCCGTACAAAATAACTAGTAAAAAATTTTAATTTCTAAACCTTCTTTATTAACTAAATCGAAATAAAAGAATAAGCATAATTTTTCCTATAGCTTATAAGCAAATAGACAACTTGATGGAAGTGGTGCATAAACATTTATGAAAAGTTTGAATTTTGTAGCATGTTTTTTGTGGTGGTGATACGAGAATAAAGGTCTCAAGGGGTGGCCGCTCCTTAGGTTCTAGAATGGGACCCACACTTCAGAATTTCTTTGGAATTTCCTTGCTAATGTTGATGCCAGCACTACTTTCTGCCTAACCCACAATTCAAAAGCACGCGGTATTATGTGTATAATACTCCAAGAAATATCCAATCCAACTCAACTCCTTCATCATTATTGATTAACTTTAAGTTGGGCATATCTCTTAAAGATTCTTGACTTCTTGGGCTATTACGTACCATTAAATAATGAATTAGAAATATTGTATCAATGCTTACGAAGTTGATATGATATAGCAAGACTAGTCAATGGTGGAGAAGAGTCTTATTCGATCAAAATTTGGTCTGAACGTCGAGTTTGAGTCCAAAAAATCTTTGTTGTCAAATTGAAAATATAGCCTAAACAGAATTTGTCATAGGATGACAAGAACTTAAGAAGTACGAGAAGACATTTATGGTCAAGTATGAGAGCTTGAGTTGATCATAACAACTATAATAAGTCGTTGATTAGAACTAGAGATACATATGAAAGACATAAAAAATAAGTAGATTTTTCTTTGATGCATTCCACGTGCTTTTAATCAATTACCATTAGTTCAAAGTGCTTGTAACGAATAAAGGCTTATTTAGGATCTGTTTGTTATGACTTTTGAAAAGTCAAAAGGAACTTTTTGGATCCGTTTGACTATTTTATAAAAGTGTGTTTTCAAGTTAGAAGAACTTTCAGAGGAAGTTGATCGAATACGACTTCCTCTAAAAATACTTCATGAATGGAAAGCTATTTTAAAATTTTGTTTCAAAACAAAAATTAACGTAACTTCTTCTGAAAGCTCTTCTATAGAAAGTAAAAATAAAAGTAAAAGTCAATGTCAAACGGCTCGAACGATTACATTTTTGGAGATCACCTTCAGCATAGATAGTCACTACCAAACGTGTATCATTTGCACATTTTCTGTAAAGCACATTACTTAAAAACCAATAAAGGCTTAGATCCTTTTTACCTTTTACCAAGTCTGATTCACAACAAAGTTCATGTGTGTTACACGTACAAATTGCACTTACTTGTCTGTCACATATGCCTTTCCAAACTCCCGTTCTACACTTTGCTCCTCAATTCTGTCTCTTGCATTCTACTCATCAGGTGCTAAAATTATACAAATCCGTCACATAGTTCTGAGAAAGCTGAGAATAGCTTCTGTTCTCAGGTCGAGTGAATAGCATATAGGTGTGTGCGTCCGTGAGTTCACATCTTCGCGTCTATCAGCGTGTGATCTCTTCAATGTTAAAAAGTTGCCGTATAAGCTGAACCTGTTACTAAGATCAAGAACAACAGAACTTCGAAAATCCATGTCTGACGAATTGAACAGCAGATTAATAGTGACAGAATCAATACATTATCAAGTCCCAACAATAATTGAGATTGTTTGGAAGGAAAGAACAATGCATAAATACACTAGGAATCCATTCTTTATCTGGTGTTTATCGAGGAATACATAAAAACCATCCCAGGTTGGGAGAAACAAATATAGGGACAAAATTTTAAAAATAAAATTAAAAATTCGTTCCTCAGTCTAACCTTTTCGACTCATTAAGCAACATGATCACAAGAGGTGCAATTGTTATATATTCCCTTAAACTGAATATCTAAACATACAACGTATTAGTAAGAATATTGACCTAGTTAAAGATAATCTTGAAGCGATTGTGTGGACTTAAGCCACAGTCTGCTCATGCTCTATGTACAATTGATTGATCCAACGGGGGGAATATCACGAGCCCGTCCATGATGCTGCTCTGAACTGTACTGTCAAGCTCCCGCACCGCTGGAGGGGACATCTTTTACTAATGAATGAACCCAAGATACATCTGGCTCGTCTACATTTGTTGTAGCCATTGCTGTTGATACCGCAGCATTACCACTTCGAAATCCAAAAGAGGCCGACTTCCTAAACTTGCTTGACTCATCACTGTTAAAGCCCCAGTCGAGTTTTCCGTCAGGGGAGTTCCAATCTGAAAGTTTAGAGGGCATCAAACTCGGGGAATTAGCAGCACCAGAAAGGCAGGACCGATGGCCAACTCCACCACTACGGTCAATGAAGCTCTGGCTGCGTTTTGCAAACGAAGAAGATCTCGAGTTCATGACTGCTGCTGCTACTGCTGCAGATGAATCGTATCCAAAAGTGGACGGCATCCTTGCTGTCGAGGATGACAGGTTAGAAGGGTAGCTTGAACGGAGTTGGCTTGTGTTTTGTTGAATCTGAAGCCCATTTCGACCCTGAAATTGAGATAATAACGAAGGATCAAGCGATCCGAAAACATCATCAAGATTGGTAGGCTTCAAATCTGTAACTTTGTTGTACGGGGATGAGAGATTAGCCATCTTGTCTGCCAACTGCTGCTGTTGGTATTGGGTTCGGATTTTTTCCAATCCAAGCAATTCCATATCCAACTCCATATCTCTTGCACTCAGAATCGTCTTGAGTCTGCTTCCTGGCAGCTGCAGAGCAGGAGGCGTGAGGTTTGCCTTGTTCTGCCACATGCTTCCACCCATTGGAGATGAACATTTAACCGATGGTGACAATGGTGGTGTTGAGGTATTAGGGTATATCAAAGAAGATGAGCCATGAGACAACGGGCTCAATGTTGTCAAATCCATTGAATTAACTGAAACGGACTTTGGTGAAGGCAAAGCTGAACCTGTAGAGGCATACAGTGGACGCAACTCTTCAGGCTTGTGTGCAAAAAAACACACTTTCCTTGGGCATCCAGTCTCGTCCTTGCAAAGGCGGGTTCTGTACTGGGCAGGATGTAGCCAGGACTCAAACACGCCATGAGCATATTCACAGGAATCACCCTTTGCACACGTTCCCTTCTTGAACTCGGGGCAGGGGACACAAGTGTAGTGATGCCTCCTTGGATCACGCCTCCTCGCATTCTCACCAGGATGGACAAAAGGGCATTCTGTCCAATCATGAGAATAAGCTCTTGAGCACGGCTTCACCTTGAAACTATACATCCTAAATTCATCAGTTCCATACATCCCATTGTTTATGTCTGGCAATGATACATCGATTGGATATTCTTTCTTCTCATTCCCTCCTTCTTTTGCTACCAGGGGTCGATTAATTCCTTCTTCTTCTTCTTGATCACCAGCCTCGAAACTAATCCCTTTCAGTAGCATTTCCAAGGTTCTCCTCTTCGAATTGTTTAAGAACTTCATGCGCGGTAAAATTAGGTCACCAGGTTTCTTCCCATTGGCATCAACAACATTGACATCAGCCGAGGCATCGATCAAGAGCTTCACAACCTCAATCGATGAATCTGAACCCCCTGCCGCTGCACAATGAAGAGCTGTTACCCCATCCGAGCCACATGCTCTATTGACATCAACCTTTTGAGACCTAATAACGTACTTCAAAACCTCAATGCTTCCATACAAGGAAGCAATCATAAGAGATGTTCTCTCTTCAAACCCCATCTTCTTTGAACCAAAATTTCTGCCATACCAAATGCTTACCTCATCAACATTAGAACCCTTTTCTTCTACTTGAGAAATAAAGCTTGCCAAATCATCCACGGCTGCCAATTCAAGCAAATTTGAGCAACTTCTAAAAACAACCCTTCTCTTACTTGCTTGAATTTCAGCCTCCATTTCCATATCAAAAGGGTAAAGTTTGCTCTTTGAACCAGTACACATCAAACCCTGAACACAAATCAAAGAACAAACATAATTAGGAATCTCACATGAATCACAAACTTCAGTGTAAATTTATATTCGGAAATATATTTATTAATATTTCAAACAAACAATAATGTTGTTATTACCGAGTACAAAACAGCGAATCACTCCACCATATAGACAGGGTGTCATCTTATGTATTCTTACAACTAAGTCTTAGAAACGTTAAAACAAGAAAACTGAACACAAGGCATAGTCGGTCCATTCAATTCACAACCCACAACATAAAAATTCAATCTTTGACATTTACAACCGCCAACCACCTATAAAAAGAATAATACTAAGCAAAAGACCATGATAAATAAATATAAATTTAAAAAAAAGAAAAGTATAGTCTCTATTCTATGAATGCTTACCTTGAAAGAGGTGGATGAGATTTGTTGAAAAAACTTGAATTCAGAGATTTTCAATAGAAAATTGTATGAGATAATAAGGGAATCCGTGTTATGGTATTGTGAAATGCTAAGACTTTGAAGGGTATATATATGTGCATACATACATATACTCTTCAAAAGTTTTCAAAGGACATGACCGTGTGGGGGAGGAAAGGAGAAGGAAAGTTTGACCTTTCTTCTTGCTTTCTTCTGCCTACTCAAGAAAGACTGCATCATTAGTCCTCATCTATTATCCATGTAAGAAATTGGTCAACAATATTTAAAAAAAATGTTAATGCCGTGTAGCAAGATTCATTTAGACCTTAATTGTAACTTCTGTGTAATGTGACACATTATTTTTTTCATTCTCATTTTTCTACTTATTTTTAACTTCACATTCCTCAATAAAATAATAATTTTTATCACATCAATAATTTTTCCTTTTTTTTTAACCACATATTTTCCATCACATCAACTGTAAAAATACATTCTTTTTCCAAAAATATGCATAAAACGGGGGCATAACAATAGTCTTAGTCGTGTTGCCTTCACGTTATTCAATGAAGTTAAGGTAGATTTTTGTTATTTGAATAAAGTAAAAATGACTTAATTGTTATCTAGACTAGTGTTATGTTGATCCTCATAGATAGGGTTCAATTACCCACTGGACCCTTAATTTTTTACATTGAAAAAAGGTCAACATAATTTTTAATCCAAACCCAAAAAGTGAGTTTAATTTGAAATTATTTTTTTCATAAATTTTCTCGTCCCCGTTGAACTATAATTTTGGGTCCACCCCTGCTTATAAACATAATTATTCTTATAGTTGTAAATATTAATGATAAATAACTCAAATCTTCGTTAGATAAAATGGAAAAGAAGTTTGACTTTAAGCCCTTGTTTGTCCTCCATTAATTAAAACTCACATATTCACGAAATAACGCAAATTCAAAAAAAAAAAATTCCTATTTTTTAACCATGCATTCTTATAAACACCAATTCAAGTTAAAAGGCAAAAGTGAACTATTAAAATTAGTCATGTGAAAGTCACGTGATAATTTGTTAGAGATGTGAACTTTAACCATCTTCAAGGATCGATGCTATAATGAAAAATTGAGATTCAATTTGTTCTTTTAGGTAGGAGACTAACTCGCTAACGGGGTAGTAAACTGGGACTAAAAATGAAACTTTCCTATTTTCCTTGACGGCTTCGACTTTTTGTTAGCTCAGTCAAAGTCAAATCATCAAAGCGGCCCAGTGGGCCCACCCTCTCGTACTGTTTCTACTTTTTTTTTGATCGGTGTGTTTCTACTTTTATCCCATAGAACATAGATGAAATGTAAATTTAATTTAGTCTGTTTAATCCACGTTCTTCACAAAATTCATTATTTTAATATTCATTTTTAATCATATATTTTTTAATAAAATAATATTATACATAAATTCAAAACTTTTTTTTATATTTCAATCACATATTTTTCATCAAATCACATCGTAAAATACATTTTTTTTATTTCAATAATGTTCGTCGAAATGAAAATGGAATATCAAATGAATAACAAATGATGGGGGAACACAGTGGGTCCCACCTAACATTTCATATTCTAGGATTACCGGTTTCCGGTCACGCGAAGGGTTCACTCTGTTGTAGCCCGTCCGCGCGTGTATCTCCAAATTTATTTTTTCTCAATTAAGCAAACGAGTTGGTTTATTTTAATTAAATACGAACTAAAAATCCATTTTTTTAATAGTAGTTTGACGGAAATATGTGGTTAAAAAATTTTAAAAATTAAATTTATGTGTAATATTATTTTATTGAAAAATGTGTGATCGAAAAAAAAGAAAAATATATATTTTTAATACAATATAAATCAAACAAGAGCTAAATAAAGAGCAAAATGAAAATCAGAACAATAGAGTAAGATTTCACATAACACAAATGTATTTTTTAAAAAAATCTTCTGAAATTTAGCTTATAAAAATGTAAGCTCAAAACTCATTATAGATCAAGACGTGCCATGAGTTGACCTCTCTTAGTGATTTGGCCCTTGGAGGTCATTTTTTCTGGAAAAAAATATTGTTTTGAATAGTGAAATTTTGGAGTCTGTTATGATTTAAAAGTGGGGAAAAGTTTTAAGTTCAATTGTAAAATATTTTATTATGTGAATTTGATTGAAAATGAGTATGTAGAAAAAATAATTTTGAACAACTGAGAGACAAACAAGGGTTTAATAGCTTGCATTGCACACTAGTTGTGCTACGAAGCACTCTTAACTTCTTTTTCTTTCAAGAAAAAAATGCGACTAGTCAAAATTTCATTAGTTCGCATTGATGCAGAGCCCAAAACATGAGATTTTTTTCCCTATCATATGTTAATTTTGTTGGAAAAATTGGTTTTAATTAGTTGGTTTGACCAATGATTTTAGTGTGTCCCGTTAATTACACAAAAGATTAGTTGGTCGAGTGGATTCTATTCCATGAGTAGATTAATGTAATGTATTTATTTTCTCAAAACCAATTTAGGGTGAATGAGAAATTAAGATCAAAAGATGACCACTTGAAGTTAAAATAAATTGGGAATAAAAAATTGGTGGGAAATTGAAAAATGACAATCCCACGTAGGAAAACTAGAAGAATAGAAAATATATTATATTGCTCAAGTTTGGGACTTGAGTTTGGACCCCAAGTGGTACCAATTGCATGTCCAAACGGGTTGTGTTTATTGAATGCACAACTTTTCGACTGTTATGCCTTTTGGACACAACTTTTCAATTCTAATTTTTCTCTCTTATAAATTTTATTCCTTTATTCCTGTGTTATTCCATATTTTACATTTCGGTCTCGAAAGTTGTTTTCATGCATTTTAGTCCTCCAATTTTAGAGAGAACAAAAACGTTAGTAGGTTCGCCAGTCTTATAATTTGGAGTGGTACTATTACAAGTCGAAGTTGTTGTATTTTCGAAAACGAGTGTCGGAATATCGTCATCGCTAATGCAGGGCATTATCGTCTTAAGGAGAAAGAGTCGAACTTTTACCTCGATCAAAGAGTCGAACTTTTACCTCGACCATTTTCATTTTATTTTGTTCATTTTTGTAAATAGTTATTCTAGCCAAATTATTGTACAGTAATGTCATTATTTGCCAAAAAAATTCTTTACAAAAAATACTGACAATAATAATGTCACGTCTACTAAATGTCTGACTTGTATGTTTATTTTTAAAGTTATAGACCCAAATAAAATTTCAAGCAAAGACTTGGGGTTTTGTGTTTTTGCTTCTTGCTTTAAGCTCTATGTTGAGATAAGATAAGGAAATAATAAATGTGTCGACCACCTTGTCAACGTGGAAATGGTGAAACCTATAAGAACAATTCCCTCACAGGTACTGCAGCTCCTATATGGTGCATTTTATGTATTTGTTTTGACGAAAATCAATTAAAAAAATGACGAGTGTCCTACCTGTAAAAATTTTGTCAACCTCCTCCTTACATGTAGAATCACTCAACCTATAAATCCATTACTTTTTACAAACATAATAAGAATTACTTAAATTAAATTTAAGAATCCAAACCATAGTTATTAGACTTAAATCAGATTGGTCGATTTGATCGATAAATCGATGAAACCAGACACTAATTCATCTCAATCACATTAATAGAGCGAGTGACAATCGAAGGGGTCAAAACCTGATAGAATCAATCAAAATTTACCTATTTAAAATATTTATTTAAATAATGTAATTTGTATTATTTACAGAGTTCAAATTGTAATTCTAAGCATTCTTACTAATGAAAATGTGGTGTATATGATGCTATCTTAATTTTTCATAAAAGTTGATATATTAATTATTTAAATTGTTAACTTGGCATATCAATCTATATTAGTCGATAATTCTTCGATTGTAACAATGTCCTACATGATCGATTTGAATCTGATAACTATTATCGAAATCAGTAAATCAACATTTTTCCCTTTTCGACTCAACAAAATACGCTACAAAGTTTTCTTCCGTGTTCACACACCACGCGAAATAATTGAGTTGGTGTGCACGTGGGATAATTGTATGGTTTTTGCATGGTTGAAAATTCCTAAGAGCGGTGTCACGCTTTACGCGCTTTGTGGTACACGACATATTGCACACTGCCGCGTCACCTTCCACCACGGATTAGATTAGGACTTGGGATTAATAGATTTTTTTTTTTTTTTTCAATAAGGTACAAATTGCCACGTTTTGAATGCTTTCATTCTCATTCTGTAGAGTAACACTTTGTTTATTTATAAATTTCACACGTTTGGTTTGGATTAAAATTCAATTAAAATTTAAATCGAAATTAATAATTAATTTTAACTGTACATTTTATGGGATTCATAACTTTTCAATCACACATTTCATCAACTTTTATCAAAATATACTAAAAATCTGATTTTAATATCTACCAAACAGGGACTTGATAAGTTGGTCAAATATTGGAGTGTTGAATACCAAATCAACGTGCCAAATATCTATTACATAAAATTTTATCAAAGAAATTTTAAATAATACATCAAATTTCAATGCCTGAGAAAAGGATGCCAAAAAGCATTTAGCATAACATTTAAAACCTCCTAATTAAATAAAATTAAAGAATATGTACATCCAGGAATCAACTTCTTACCATCTCGAGATCAGAAAAATAAAATAAAAATTTACAAGCTCCATTTCTGACCAGTATGAAACCACTTCCTTCCTGTCTATTGTTTTAATTAGAAGCACTTCTGTGCACAATCGATGGAGCAGACTCATCGTGTTCGGCCTTTGTAATCTACATCTAGAAAAGAGATAAGAAAAACAACTCATTTAGAAACTTTTCGTTAAGTATCACATGTATAGAAAATGCTTTGAGTCAATGTACTTTCACGAGGTGCAACCACCTTAATCTTCATGCTTCTTGGAGCTAGGGCTGTAATTTCCTTGCTCATTCTGTCAGCAATGCTAGGAAAAATGGTTGAACAACCACTGAGTACAATATTACGATAATGGTCCTTCCTAATATCCACATCACACTTCATGATGGAGTTGTATGTGGTGTCGTGAATGATCACTGATTCCGTTCCGATCATTGAAGGCTGGAAAAGAACCTTAGGGCGTCAGAAGCACTCAACGCTAATGGCAATCACCTAGGCAACTCATAGCTCTTATCCACAGAAGAGCTAGTATTTGAAGTTTCGACCTCCTGCTCATAGTCAAGGGTAATGTAAACTAACTTTTCTTTCACGTCTCTCACAATTTCCCGCTCTGCAGAGGTGGTGAAAGAGTAACCATGCGCTGAAAGTATTGTTCGAGTGCATGAAAAAATACTCTTTAAATTTAAAGATGTTACTTGTTATGCATAAAATGTTCTTTATAAATTTATAAAAACGCTCTTTGAGATGTTCTTAACCCAATGTTCTTAAATTTGAACCCGAACATCCCTGACAATCTCTATGCGTCTCTGTTTCTCGTGTACGGTAATTCTCAATGTTGAAGCTGTTGTTCAATGAGTACAAATGTACATGTATTAGTATGTGTCAATAATATCCGATTATGTTTGTTGACCTCAATTTTTGTAGATCAACATATCTCGACTCATTTCACATCCATGTAAGCTTTTGTCCTGTACATTTGGACAAATCGTAAGTTGCATGTGGCCTTCTCCGATGGTGGGAAAGGCAGCTATGAGCACTTCGATGGTCAAGTCAATCAAGAATAATGATATGTTGGATGTGGGACGTGCTAAGGACGTGAGCCACTAAGTAAAAGGGTTGGATCTTAAAGTGTGTAGAGAAATGAATGAGAGAAAGTTTATAGTTTGAGTATATAAAGTTGCATTACATTGGAATGGCACTAAGTGTGAAATTTTATAGTAGATGATATATAATATTGACCTTTGGATGGAAAGATAAGTAGCATCATCCTGATGGTTGATGTGTCCTCTCCTATGTGTCAATCTACACATCATAGGCCTGGATAGTATTTAATGTTTTCGAAAAGTTGTCACCCTAATACCTAGGTCTAGCATCTAAAATATAAATTAAAAATTTGACCTTTAGACATCTGCTATAGAAATGTCACATTAATCAATCTTAGAAAAGAAAAACAACTCATTTAGAAACTTTACGTTACATACCATATGTATAGAAAATGCTTCAAGCCAATGTACAAACCTGCTGGAAGATGCTGAGGGATGCCAAGATGGAGCCTCCGATCCATACACTGTATTACCTTTCAGGAGGTGCAACCACCTTGATCTTCATGTTGCTTGGAGCTAGGGCTGTAATTTACTTGCTCATTCTGTCAGCAATGCCTGGAAACATGGTTGAACCACCACTAGGTACAATATTACCGTAAAGGTCCTTCCTAATATTCACATCACACTTCATGATGGAATTGTATGTGGTTTCTTGAATGACCCACTGATTCCATTCCGATCATTGAAGGCTGGAAAAGAACCTTAGGACGTCAGAAGCACTCTCAATGCCAATGGCAATCACCTAGGCAACTCCTACAGAAGAGCTAGTATTTGAAGTCTTGACTTCCTACTCATAGTCAAGGGCAATGTAAGCTAACTTTTCTTTCATGTCTCTCACAATTTCCCCCTTTGACCTTTAGACACCTACTGCACCCCAATACCTAGGTCTAACATCTGAAATATAGAATAACAATTTGACCTTTAGACACCTACTGCAGAGATGTCACATTAATCAATTGTAGGCGGATCTTGTATGAAAGATCTCTTAAGGAGATATGAAATGGGAAATGCCTTCTCTCGATGAAGAGGCTAGTTGCCTTGGATTTCTTCTTGCAGCAGGTGTCACCTCAACTGGGTCATGGAGGTCGGCCTCTATATGCCACCTTGGCGGAAGTGATTCATCACCTCGACTCACCTCGACCAGGTAGGAGAATGATGTAGAGTGCGGGTCTAATTGACTTGCGAGCTGGCTATCACATGGTGATAATCTGGAACCTCACAACAATGTTCATTATAACACTTTCTGAAGTGGTCAGAAGTTGAAAAATCCTGTATGGGTTTTGCCTTTTGAGAGTGGGTTATGTGATTTTGTTTTGAATTTGCAATTAAACAAAAAATATGCATTTGGGTTTTGCTCATTTTTCAATTTTACATTTTCAAATTTGCTTATTTTGGTTATCTCCAGCTTGCTTTCTTTTACAATGCCATTGTCTTTTCAACAGAAAAGAAAAAAAAAAATTATATGGATTTTGTTCTTTTACAGCATTCATGATCTGGGTTTCACTTATTTTTTCCAAGAAATCATTTTGATTGTATACATTTCCCTATTTTCTACTATCTCTGTTTTCAATTTTCTTCCACCAATTTATGTTCTTTTTCAATGTTATGATGTGCAAATAGCCTGTACAGAATACGCTGTTGGTGTTTGCAGCCAACCAGTCCTCATCCTCGCAATAGCTAGTGTTTCCGGCTTCGATTTCAAGTATGTTGTTTGTCTCTCTCGTTCATGTATATTTGTTTTTACTTTTTCTAGGTAGTATTTATTTGATGAAAGTGCTAGAATCCTTTGTGAATCTAGAATTAGAAGAATTGTAAAGGTGTTTTGAATGAAAACAGGATTTGAGTTCTAATTTTCATTTTTCTTTTTATATGGTATAAATTCTTGGATTAATCATAAGGAAATAGTTGTGGACCTTGTGGGTTTTATTCTTCACTTAATTGTTTCGATTTCTTACGTGAAGACAGTCATGGTTGCACTGGATTGGTTTATATCTTGAGGGTATAATTTGCATCATGTCTATGTTTGAAGTTTTTAAATTGATGGCTTAATTTTTAAATTTGATGTGAATAAAGGGTTTCTTGGTATATTTTCTAAGTTGATGAGATTTACTCGTTCACTGGAAAAGATTGTATTTACTGGTTTTGAAAAGTAAAGAAATGTCTTTATTAAATTGTTTTCCTCTATGAATTCTATTACTTGAGCATGCTTTGCGTATAGCTTCCTATTGAAAATGAATATTTGAATTTTTAGAATTGTTAAAAAATTTCAGCCTATGCGTCCTAAATTTTTTGGATCCGTCCCTGATCGCCCGTCAATTTTTTATTTTTATTTTTATTTTTTTCATTCTGCGCCAATATCTTAAAATCAACCACCCACCATGAACATGTAGAACCAAAATCAGGAAGTGATAAGCTAAAATAAAACAAATAAACAAAACATTTATGAAGCGAACCGGTCATAAAATCAGCCTGTTTGGTTTAGTTTATGTTTTATAATGAAACCAAGAATAGTTCCAATCTATTGCATCCTCCAACAGATTCAATTGCATCATTTTTTCCTGTTCCGACAAGACTGCCCAGTGCCAGGATCGTTTGAAGGTTGACGAGGAAGAGAAAATTTCACTAGTTTCAGGCTTGTGGTGATTTCTGACCTGTGAACCGTATTCACTAACTATTTTATAAACATAGACAACTGTATAGATTTTACACTAGGATGTTCATCAGCACAGACCATCACTCAAATTAGTTTAATTTAGAGCATTACAACAATTTCTCGTTCACGTGTCTATTGTCCTCAATCAATCCCACCAAGTTTAACATAACAAGCACGTCATTTATATTTATACAATGAACTAGTCTAAACCACGCGCTTCAGGTGTGTAGGAAACTAGAGTAGCGCTAATCAACTATTCCGAATTCTCTGCTTCCCCATTCCAGACAGAACTTCTTCTCTCATGTACAGTCTAGTATGGATGGTCACATGTAAAGATAATTTACGATAAAATAGTTCAGATCAAGTATTATCCAGTGACTGCACGCATAATAATCAAGATCAACACAAGTCTCAACTCAACTGTAGGAATTGTTTCCATGGACCAAAATAATCCAGTGTGCTTAGCAGTCATGATAAAAACACCAACATCAACAAAATGAAACCAAATTACTCCACACATTAAAAATCCCAACATAGTCCTAGAAAGGAGAGAAAAAATCTTTCATGGCAAGCTGTAATATGAAAGGAGAGAAAAAAGCTAACCCATTAGTAAATCTCTTATGAGTAATGATCTCTTTTGACCTTTAATGATGCTGCTGAATTCAAACTCAATCACAAGAAAACAAGTGCATGATTGCCTTTAATTTACAGGAATGGGGGCAGTATTACCCATTGTCGGGGATATCTTGGTCTTCCCTCCTTTCCATCAAATAGCTGCAAAAGAATGAGACACGGTTAAGAATAAAAACAATGAAATAACATACTAACAGCAAACTATGGTCTCTATAGTTGACATATTTACTAAGTATGGAAATGCCTCCTCATCATTATCAAGAGTAATGCTATTTATCATTATGATGATAAAACATCAATGATGTGATAGTCTACGTGGAATAATGGGATTTTACAATTCAATTTTTATGAGAGAGAGGAGGATATATGGTATCGAGAAAGAGAAAAATGTGAAGAATAATGGGTTGTCCATCACCGATGTTCCATCATTATGATGACAAATAATATTACTCTTATCAAAAACATGCAAAACTGAACTTCAAAAAGTTCGTATCAAGTTATTGCTCTACTCTAGGCCAATTGGAGATTAGCTTGCACACACAGCTCTTAACTGACAGTTTTATTTGCATATCGAGGAGTTAGAAAACTGAGTAATTAAATCTAGCATAAAATATGAGATATATGTTTTAACGAAATCTTGAGATAAGTTATCAATTAAGACGTAGCAAAGAAAGCTGACTTGCAGAAAACCTAGGCTCATATTGACAAGGCAGAATGTCACCCCAAGTGGGTCCACAAGGTCTAAGCAAAGATGGGACAAATCATCTGTAGAATCCTTTATTTTAAAAGAACAAGAAAATGATAATTTACCTTCTTTAGTCGACGGTGCCTTGCAAGGGCCCAGTTCGTCATTATGGAGGCAGCAACAACCATGAAGACATAGCCTGCTACGGTCTGTGTAGCAATATTGAAGCCTAGCCACTGATAAATCTCGGTTGTGTAGTTCGCACATGTAACGATGTTAAATAAAGCCACATGGGATTTGGTACCCTCCACCACCATCAGCACCCCGGAGATTTCTTAACAAGATATGGCAATAGAAATTGGCAATTTGACAAAGCAACCCAAACAAAAACCCAATTTTCATTTGGAGATCATTTACCGGTGTGTAAAGTGGGTGGTTGACATAATAAGCAATAAAAGCACCAAAGCTCCAATAATATGCACAGTTGCGAAAGACATTGGAAAGGGGTGAGGTTGCATGGCTGAAACGGTGCACAAAAAAGGTTTCCATTATACGTTTGAAGTAGTGGAAGCACCAGTAATACAAGGCATAAGTCTGGACGGGGTGGATGACTCGCTCCCCTTTGTAGCCGAAAAACCGGTACACAGGGTAGTGATAGAAGATAGGATAGAGGATCAAAGGACCCAAGTATTCCCAGAAGAAAAGGGTGCTGTACTTGACTTGTGGACCTAGGTCCTTGAAAACAACAGTCAAAGTGTCTCCATTCCCATCAGTGTATTCTTTGAGACTCTTCTTGTACTGAAGGACAGTAGGCTTCTCTTTTGATCCAGGCAGGATAGGAAGGGTCAATCGCTGTCTAGAGGGATAGTACTTTTTGGCTGTAGCCATAATACATTAAATTAGATTAAAAACATCAGTATGCAAAAATGCATAACCCAAAAAGAAAGAAAAAAAAAAGAATTCTGTAAAGCAAGAGAAGAGACAACGGCGAAGGGTTTTCAATAACTTTAAGCTACATCCAGTTGACCTAACAAACGGTGCATTCACTGGTTGTTTTTGTACATCCACGTTGATTATCTTGTAATAACTAAAACAAGCACATATATAAGTCTAATAATCTGAAAGTCTTCATATGCATACTTATTAACTACATGTATATGGATTGGTGTGCCTGTTTCCATTTCAACTAAGAGAAAATACAAATCCATGAAAGTTTGAGAATTACTAGCAAAGAACTACAGATTAGCAAATCAAAGTCAAGGTTGAAAGGCTTAAAAAATACAGCTGAGCTTAACAGAACTGTTCACAGTTGTTCTTTAGAATTCGAAAGATGTTTCCATATTAATGTGGCAATCAAAATAAAACAGAACAATCTTATGCATTCATAAGACACACACCAGAAGATTATGCTCTTAAATATATCATCAGACGCAAACTATTAATTCATCTGAAAACAGAGAAAAGAGATACTCCCCCCATCTACCACACCCCCTCTTCCTCTTGGTACGAAGTCAATAAAAAGTTGCTCCTCAGCCCAACAATTTCAACTATGAAATATAAAATCTATGCTCCACTTTCCCTCACATGGTTTGAAATGGCTTTATATATGCATCCGTGACTTACTCTCAATTTTCTTTTGCTAACTTCGAATGCTCAAATTGCATTTGCTGATATCCTGTCATGCTTATGTATGCAAAATGTGTTAAAACAACATGAGACAAAGGTCGGTATTTAAGAAAGAACCGGAGGAACTAAAATATCTACTAGGAAATTGCAGTTGATAGAAGATAATTTCTAATAATTTCTGCATGACTGCATCAATCTTGTGGATAACTGATATCCTCTGTCCCTGCTCCTGACCCACAACTCAAAAAGAGCAATTGCCTTTTTGTGTCTAAAGAATTGTTGAAAAAACTTCAAAGAACATATTTGCTTGTTTTTATTAAAACCATTACTTTATATCTATGGATCAAAAAGAAGCACTGAAAAGATCATGGGCATCTGACTGGTTCTTAGCATTCAAACTTTTCATCTCTACTCTTTTGAACTAATTACGCTTAATCAGGGTAACTGCTTGAAAACAAAGAAAGGCTGGGAGTCTCCCTTTCATACTCTAATAGCTCTAGCTTTGGCATCGGGTTTTCAGAGTCCTAGTGCTCCCCAATGGTCACCAGTTTGAGTCCCCTTAGGGCCACTGAGTTGAGTATCCGGCCGTAAACTTCAGGGCCCCGTGGGATTAGTCGAAATGCACGCAAGCTGGCCCGGACATTCCAGGATATAAAAAAAAAATAAAAATAATAAATAAAAATATATTAAAGCAAAGACCAATATGAATATATTTGACAAGATGACGCAAGAACCCAGAAGCAAGAAGAAGAGAAAGCCCAGCCAAACCTTATCAACTCCCTGAGACAGCTATTGGCAGCAGGTTTTCCGAGTGCTAGCACCCCCGGAAAAAGCTACAGGCTCTCGTTCGGAAACCATCCTAAACTCTCCCCTATAAAGCGTTCCCCTAATTTAAAAAAAGCCCTATCCTTGAGCTAGACAGCGAGTCAGCATTCGTCCAACTATTTAGGCCCCTGTTTCCCTCTTTCCTTTGAGAGTTCACCAACGCTTCTTGAACTTTGTTTAGGGTCGCGCCGATCGCTATGAAATTGGAGTAGTTCCGTTATTCCTTTTCACTGGTTGGAGTTGACTAATCCTCTACTCAATAACCAAGTGCCTAACTTCGTATTATACCCATCTGCCTATACGGGGCAAAGTCGGAAGAAATCCCGACTTGGGAGCTAAGCTTAGATCATAAGTGGGCGGGCCCCATGCCCCAGGAGTTACATTCGTAACTTCATGTTATGTTCACACGGTGATATTCTATCTTTCCAAGAGTACTACCCTGTACATAGAAATGCAGGCACTATTGACATCCAAAGGTTCAAGATGGCCTTGGAGCTTACCTTTTTTTCGATTGCCCTCTCCTTTTTACTCCATTTATTTTTCTGATTTCTTAGGCTTTTAGTCTATATAAAGTGCATGAAATTTTATACTGAGAATCGTGTTCCTCTCTGTGTATTATACTTGCAGATGAAGGAATAATTAAATTTGAGGATGCTACTATTCACAAAGAAGTACATCGAGCTTTAACCACACGTATGAAAAATCTTCCTCTAGTAATACCATTCTTCCACTCAAGAACACAGAGTATGTGCTTCAATCAACAAAGAACGTACATCAGGGCCAAATATTAACCACCAGAAGCAAAAGGAAAGTAAGTCTAGTTCACTTATAATTGTGTTGCGGTTTAAAATTATTATTCATGCCTTAATTGAATAAAATATAGCACACCAAAAACATGATCAGTGAATACACATTTCCAAATAAACACTCCTAGCAAATACCTTCAACAAATTATAACAATTAAACCTAACTGATATCTGGCTAAAACTCATCTATATTATTTTATGAGGTACAAATTATCAACGAAGTTATATCCTTTGCGCTCCGTTGAATAAGATTGACGCGAGAAAAAGAACTCATTTTCTAAGAAATAAAGGGGTTCCAAAAAGAAATAGTGATGTGAACAAATAAATATATAAAGAAAGTAATATATACTGATGGTGGTACACTTTGATTCACAGTTTCAAAATTCATGAATTGAGCAGTCATCATGTCAATTTGGAACATACATTTGCATATTTAGCATTTTCCATTCATAAAATTCCATAAATTATAAGAGCGTTCTCTCATCATTGCTACTGTGAAGTCACACATATTTTCCCAACAACTACCTTGAGCAAATCTTACAAACAAGACAGAATATTCAACATATGATACGAAGCCTTCAAGAAAAAATCTTAACATAGAGCAATGACATAAAACGTGGTAATAACCTACTTCGTTTGTGAATTGCTTCCTGCAGATCAGCCACAGTAGCCTACAAAACAAAACCAAAGCACAATCAGAACCATGCCCATGTTATTCTTTAAGGCATTAATAGAAACACCAACCACATACCCAAAATCAAGATTTGAACTCTAGTTAAGAGAAAAATAGACAATTTGAGGAAAAAAACAAGAAACTCACAGAATCGCTGAACTCAAGGCCACCCTTTATGAGTTCTCTACCGCTACGAGTCGTGACTACGACTTTCATCTTTCTTTCAAGATTGAAGAGAAAACCAGTATTTTTTTTGTTCAAAATCTACTCAGTATTAAATATATGGAGTTGGATTTAGCTAAGAGAGGCGATTATATGAAGGTGAAGAAGTTCACTGAGGCATTAATAAGCAATTAATGATGTGTGGTTAGGGTAGATGACGGATGACCAAACCAATTGCACCGATAAACTACCCGACTCCCTCCTACCTTGACATAAATTAAAGAGAATTGCAACAGCGGTTCCAAACCTTTGAATATTTTGGAGATTTTACCTTAACCTTCAATCTATACCATCAACAGTCTCAACCTTTCAAAAATTAGTACTTGAAATCCAAAATGCCTGAAAATGTGAGTTTCACCGTTAATTGACTTGAAAAATGAAAAAAATTGAATATTTTGACCAATTTAAATAGATGCATTTTCATCAATCACATATTAATAATTAAAATAATTAAATGTAAACTAAAAAAATTGCTTCAACCCAACCCAACCCAAAATCCTTCACCACCTCACTCCCCCACGCCACGCCACCCCAAAATCAAATCAACCAGAAAACTCACCCAATCCACAGCCGCCGCCGCCACATTCTTCACCAATTCTTCTTTTTCTCCCACCATCTCCCACCAAATCGAACCATCAATGAACCATTCAATTAAAGCCATCCACATATCAACATGTAATCTGCAAAACAAAACACCGCCACATACACATTCAAATCCATATACACATGTTGATTGTATGTTTCCAGATCTAGGATTTGTTTGTTAAAAAATTGGAGTTTTTATCTTAGGATTTAGTTTTTAGCTCCCTTCAATGGCTACCTCTTATCTTCTGCTATGTTACTGCTGCTCGGAGAATTTTCTTATTTTTCGAGGATATGGGTGCAAAATGTAAACAATGTAATCAATTAAAAATGTAGACAATGGATGCCAACTGGAACACATGTAAAATAAATAATCAAAAGACTTTAAGCAAATAAACATTCTTACTGTATGTTGAGATTGGGTTTGTCTTCTTACATTTCTGTCTGATATGCTGTCATTGCCTCACTATTTTGGATCTAGACTTGTTTCCCTAAAGGACTCCTGCCAAGCGGTACTCCTTTGTCACTGATCCTTGTAGATCCGTATATGGAAATAGCAATTCAGAGTAGAAATATGAAAACATGATGAAATTTTATTCAAAGAAGGTTTAAGAGCAAAAACTCTCTTAAACTTTCTTTAGATACAAGTATTTAGATCCAGTATGGATCCACTGTCTTTGAGGGATTAGCCTCGAAACACGTACATTGATCTTTTAATTTCACTCTGACCGTTAAACTTTAACTTGTCAAGTCATTGGAATGACAAAATTTTCCACCCCACTCCAACCTANTTCCTTTTATAGATGAAATCTTGAGATTCCTCTTCATCTCTGTCGTCCATTTGTCAGTTATCCACAGTTTTTCTTTTGCAAAAGCAAAAGTAGAGATAAAGGGATTTAGACAAATTTGTCTTTTTTTTCTTTTTAAAAGTAGATGCCTTTCCTTTTGTTACATCTTCTTTTAAAAAGTAGATTCCTCTTGCTGGCCATTTTTGCCGTCACTGTCTGCATCACTTTTACTATCAATATTGCTCCCACTTGATTCTGTTTCTGTCGACAATGCTGAATTTTTACACCATTGGCATTCATGGTATTTTCTAAAGCTTTGCTTGAGTGATTTACACAGTTGTCATCTGTAATTCTCAGGAACATTAAACTCAATGTAAAAAGTTTTCTCAAAATTACAAAGTATTTTGATCCCATCCTTCTTGATTACGGATCCTGTCTTATTGGTTACCAAGATAAAATCTGAAGAAAAATTTATCTTGATTTTTGATTCATTGTTGAATGCTTTTAATTCTGTAAGAATCCTTTAGTATGACAGGCTTCTCCATTCATTCAGGATTTGCTCGTTCACGCATTCAATTGCTCCAACAGTAGGTTTGCTCAAGGTAATTTGAGGAACTGTCTTTATTTGGATATGTTGATATCCTTTCACAAGTAATCATTCCTCATTCTAGAAAGGAATTGTACGATTTATTTTTAGCATCATGTGCAAATTTTGATCCTTAATGACAAATTTTTTAAAGTCCTTCAAGGTCTTTAACAATTTATCATTAATCATTGAAATTTCACTCATTGATTCACTGGGATTAATCATTTTGATTAATCCACAATGAAATATTGTCTATACCATTATTGGATCAGCTTCTCCACAAAAAATGAAATGTCCAAACTTTTTCTCCATTGTTCGAAAATATGTTCTTTCTGGTCCAGTATCTCATACTGTCCTTGCTTCTTCTTCATACTGAAGAAAATCCTGTAATGTAATTCCATTAAAAAATGGGTTTTCTGGAGACTTGGGATTTTTCCAATATTTTTAAATCTATTTGGAATATTGTCAATTTCAGAATTGGATTGGACCATATTGAAAGATATCATCCTCAATCTCTGGTTGGGATTTGGAGGTCTAAAGTGTTGGGTTGGCAACCTGGGCCTAGATCTTGGGTTACCGTCTTAACAATAACTGGGTCTTAGCTAAATATTGTCATTAAGATGGTTATATGAAGAAGGTGTAATTCCTTTGGCTTCATAAAACTGGTTAAAAGCTTGTTGGGCTTCAAGAAAAGTTTTAAATTTTTTGTGTTTGTAGGGCTTGTTTTTTACAAGTGGTTCAACTTGCTTCCATTGTGAATAAAAGCTCATATCTGGTCCTTCAAAGATTACGTAAAACTTGGTACCTGCAGGTAAATTGTTAATACCAACAAGTGATGATTTTCAATTCCAACAATTGAAACATTTTTCTCTTGGGCTTCAATGTCTTTGAGTTTCTTTGGGCTTTGAATACCCTCTTGCACTTGCAAACATTTTTCGTACCATGATTGTGGGCTTGGATTACCCTTATGTCCTTTCGAACACTGAGCTTGTTCTTGAATATGCTCGTCTATATTGTATTCAATAGTCTTGCTATTGTTTACACTAATTTTTGGGTTTGGAATACCCTTTTGCTCTTGAGAGCATTGAGCTTGATTATGCTCTTTTGTATTGTCTTCAATAGTTTTATTATTGTCAACATTGAGTGTCTTCTTTAGGACTGTATTTTTCTCGTCATCAGCTTTGCTGATTTTGATTCCTTCTGTATGGGGTTTTTCCCCTTTTTCAGAAGTTGATGCCTTTTGTTTTAGAAGTCTGGTTAACGTCTTTTTCAAAATTTGTAATTTTTGTTGTCTTGTTGAGATTTCCATTTCTTTAATTTCAATCTGTAGTTCTAGATTAGCAATTTGATCTTCAAAGTCTGTCATTTTTACGTGCAGAAACAAATTCTCTAGTTAATGCATCGGCTAAAGAATTATCTTTGCTTTTGATTATTTCAATTTCAAAATCATAATGGCTAAACCACATCTGTCATCTAACAAGTCTTCCTTGTTTGTAATCTGGGTGTACCTGATTTTTCAGAAATGCTCTGCAAGTAGTTGAATCAGTTCTAACAAGAAATTTATCAGAAATGATATAAAGTCTAAATTTTGCAATAGCCTTTTTCATAGCTAAAATTTCTTTTTCATTTATATGATAATTCTTTTCCGCTCCTGAAAAGGTTCCTGAAGCATATGCACAATGTTTTTCAATTTGATCTTGAAAATATAATGCTTTTAAAACTACTCCCTAATATTCTTGAGAGGAATCTGTTTCAATAACCATTTTATCCCCTGTTTTAGGATGATATAATGATGATAATTTTTTTACTTTAGATTTAATCTTTTGAATATAAAGAGTATCTTCTTTAATCCAATTCCACTTAAAATCTTTTTTGATTTTCTTTTGAAGAGGTGCTCTCATTTTTGCAAGTTCTTTAATAAAAGATTCTGCATAAGTGAGACATCCTATAAATCTCATCAATTGTTTTTTATCTTGAATTTCATTTGGAAATTCTTGAATATGTGTCAAAACATGGGGTTTTAGTTGTTTATAACCATAAGTTATATCTAACCCTAAAAATCCAATTTTTTCTTTAAACAATTGTACTTTCTTTTCAGATGGTACAATACCTGATTTACATGCATTTTCTAGTATTGAAATTACGTGTTTTTCATGTTCTTCTTCAGTATCAGAAAATACTAAAATATCATCAATATAGTATAGATTCAACAAAATTTACTATATTCTTTAAAGATGTTATCCATGTATCTTTGGAAAATACCAGGTGCCTGTTTTAGGCCAAACGGTACAACTTTCCATTGGTAATGTCCTTGTGGACAACTAAATGTTGTAAGATGTTTTGCCTTTTGGTCAAGTATCACTTGCCAAAATCCAGATTTGCAATCAAATGATGAAAAAAATTTCTTTCCTTTTATGAGTTGCAAAAGACTTTGCATATTTGAAATTAGATATCCATCATCTTTTGTAATTTTATTAAGTTGAGAATAGTCAACTACCATTCTAGCTTTTCCTCTTCTTTTTTCTGCTTCTTTTCTTACCAAAAATGCTGGTGAAGAGAATTGAGATTTACTTGGTTCAATCACTTGTAACTCAAGTAATTCTTTAATTTGTATTGAGAATTCTTCTCTATCTTTAGGGCTATAAGCCATTGCTTTAGCTCTAACAATAGGTGTTTTGAATTCATCAAGTAATTCAATTGTTGCAGTCATGGTTCCTTTATTTTTTAAAGGATCCAAAGGGTTTTCTGAGCAACATTTCTCTAAAAGATTTAGAATTTCTTCTCTTTTAGAATTAATCTGAAATTCTTGTTTTTCTTCATTTGTTATGAGTATATACCTTTTTTGGGCAATATTTTCTCTCTAAATTTCTTTAAAAATTTTCTTTTTATTATCAATTTTAATTGTTTTCAAGAATTTTTCTTGCAAAACATTCATAGCTACTGCTTTTCTTTGTTTCAGAATCCACAATCTCTTATAGTTAAGAGTAAAACTTATAGATTCTATTTCTTCAATAAATGGATGATATAATTGACAAAAG